CTGCCCCTCCTCCCCAGCCTCCCAGGGGCTCCTCGCCTTCCAGGCGATTGTCACCTTGGCCACAGTAACTTCCTGACGAGTTTGCGGTTTTCCATCCTAGAGTGACCGCCGGGCCGGCGGTCCCCTGTGCCTCCGAGGTACTTTCCCTACTCTTCACAAAGCCTTGGGTCCGCTGTGACTGCCCAGCCCGTCGTGGACACGCTGTTTCACGGTCACCATGACACTTCTCACCACACAAAGTCCCTGAATTACAGCACTAGAAGAGAAACTCACTGAGGACAGGATCTTGTCCACTGGCTGCTATCCGCCCAGTACGTTAGGAGCCAGATACGGTGAACGCGTTTATGAAAAGACCCTCCTAAGATTTGCCGGCTCAACTTTCCCTCTGCTGTCTCTGTGCTGTTCTCTCACTACTGTGGTTCAGGGAGACTTCGGGGACTTGGGATACTTTGTATCCTCAGCTACTTGGCGTTAGAGCCAGAGAAAGCCTGGAGCAACAAGTGTGTATATGGGAAATCAGGGCTGTGATTTTTTTACCCCAGCACTTAGCATCTTTGTAATTTTATCTTTGTGCATACTTACACATGCGCGCGCGCACACACACACACACACACCTGTTATTATCATATCTTTTCCTTTTCCATCAAAATATAAGGACCATAAAACAACAAGGACCAGCTTGCTCATTCCTTTTTGCATGTGTTGAGTAGCTGAAGTGGACCCTGGAGAGATGTAGAACTCACCTTCTCATGAGGGGAGACAAACCTGAGAACAAGAACATTGCAGGTAGTGGTAAGTGCTGCCAAAGAAATAAAGTGGACTGACTTGATGGTGATATTCTTTAGCTTGCTCACTTGATTTCTGTGGAATGTCTGCTGGTCGGAGGAGCCCCATTTTATAACTGGTGGGGGGAAATAGTGTAGGAAAACTTGCCTAGAGTTACTCATTTTGCAGATGGTAACATTTGAACCCAAACTTACACTCTTATCTGTTATATTGTCAGACTCCTGGGAAATATTCCAGCGTTGTGGCTGTACCTTTGTCTTCCAGGTCATCAGTGTGAAATGATTCTTTTTCGTTTGTTTTTTTTTTTTTTTTTTTTTTTTGAGAGACAGGGTCTCACTATGTAGTTGAGACGGACCTGCAACTCACTGTGTAGCCCAGGCTGGTCTCAAACTCACAGCAATCCTCCTGCCTCAGCTTCCCAAGTGCTAGGATCACAGGCGTGCGCCACTTCACGCCCAGCCAGTGTGAAACAATTCTGAGCCAAGGAACCAGTTAGGATAAAAACAAAACAGGGCCCCCTCCCAAAAAAAATCCACACAAACTTAGTTTTGTGATAATACAGAGGGTGTGTACTTACGATGGTTTGACTTAAGTTTTTTTTTTTTTTTTTTTTTTTTTT